TCGATTATGTCAAAAAATTGTAACTCGATCAAGATACTGACACAAAATGTACGAAGCATATCCGCTAACTTAACTAGTTTTACCACTCTACTGCATCGCATAAAAGTCGAAATTGACATATTAATACTCACAGAGTGTTGGTTGCAAAAGACACCTGTAATTCCTAGCCTACCCGGATATAATTCATACGCATCCACCAACCCTCTGAATCAAAACGACGGAGTAATTGTTTACATTAGTAACAAATTACCTGGAATCAGCATCACTGAACCCAGCATCTCAGAGGCAAGCTGTTTACTCTTAAAAATAAACAAAGATACTATTTTGTTAGCCGTCTATCGTCCTTGCGGTTTTCGAAATCCTCAGAACTTTATAACATCTCTTAACAATATTTTGGCTCCACTAAATAATTATAGGAATGTGATATTGATGGGTGACATAAATATTAACACAAACTCCACTTTCTTAGATCCAAACGCTGACGAATATTTAAATACTTTGGCACATCACGGTCTTTTACCAGCTCATTATTTACCTACTCGTAACCAAGCATGTCTTGATCATGTCATCATGAAGAGCACCCACCCTGCACAAACCCTCGTTATTCATTCTTCTGTTACTGACCATGAAGCTGTGTTGCTTGCCATTCATATGGCCAGACAAGCTACTCCTCCTACTAAGACAAAAATAATAAATTATCAGTCTCTTACGAAATGGATGGAGGCCATTGATTTTACCCCTATACTCAAGATTACAGACCCCAATTTGGCTACTAACTCATTCATCGATATGTTGCAAACTGCCATCCTAGAAAATTCTGCTTTTCTGTCTTTCTCAAGGCGACGTAAACTTATTAAACCTTGGATAACCCCTGGTCTTTTAAGGTGCGTTAGAAACAGGGACAGCTTGCACAAAAAACTTAAAAATAGTCCACAAAACGATGCATTGAGGGTTACTTACGTTCGATATCGTAACTACTGTAATACTTTATTAAAAAAAGTCAAAAGAGAATATGACAGAGATCGTATAGATAAAGCAGGCAAGAATTCTAAAATGTTGTGGAATGCGATTAAAGAAATAACAGATATGAACAAAACGAAATCTCCTGCAACTGATCTTTTAAGTATTAAGCCCACCCCAAAAGAATCAGTGGATACAGTTAATTCTTTCTTCGTGAGCATTGGAAAGACGCTTGCTGAGAACCTTACTCCAACAGCGCCCACTTATTCCAAAGTACTAACACACAAATCCCCTAGACGAGATTCCCTTGTCTTATTGGAAACCAACGACGCTGAGGTGGAATCTATTATTGGTTCGCTAAAACGGGATTGTGCTGTGGGTTGGGATGACATACCCACTGCCTTATTAAAACACTACAAACTGATACTTGTACCCATAATCACCCACATATGTAACATCAGTATCAATGCTGGTGTTTTCCCGACTGCTTTCAAGAGGGCAATAGTGCATCCGATCTTCAAGTCTGGGGATCGGTCTTGCACAAATAACTACCGCCCAATCTCAATCCTACCATCACTCTCTAAGATACTTGAACGGATTATTAACTCGCGTCTAAAGAGTTTCCTAGAAACCACTTCGGCTCTTTCCTCCAGGCAGTATGGTTTCCGTTCCGGGAAATCCACAGCAGATGCTGTCCACGATTTTACAAACACTGTAATTGAAAACCTTGACCGGGGACAGAAATGCTTAGCTATCCTACTCGATCTTGCTAAGGCATTCGATACGGTTTCCATTCCCCTCTTATTGAGAAAACTAGAATTCTTGGGAGTTAGAGGGAATCAACTGAAACTTTTCGAAAGCTACCTTACGGATCGAAGACAGATGGTGAAAATAGATGGTACAACTAGTTCCGACCTCCACATAGAATATGGTGTCCCTCAGGGTAGCATCCTAGGCCCCTCCCTGTTTTTAGTTTATATCGATGAGCTCTGTTCTCTCAACATCCCAAACTGTAAGATCGTCTCCTTTGCAGACGATACTGCCCTTATAGTTTCAGCTGATAACTGGGAGGAAACCTATCAAGTAGCTCAAGTTGGATTCGATCTTGTTTCCTGCTGGCTACAATCAAACCGACTTACCCTTAATGTCCAAAAAACTCAATATATGCCTTTTTCAATCAAAAAACCAACCATTAAATCCAGAAGCAACTTCTCAATTGTTGCTCATTCCTGTTCAAATCATGGAAGTATGGATAAATTGGCCTGTAGATGTCCAAACCTAAATAAATCTGAGACAGTTAAATATCTGGGTGTGCTTATCGATGACAGACTTTCATTCCAGGCTCATATTAATCTTACAGCGGGTAGAATCCGGAAATTAATGTACGTATTTAAAAAACTTCGCGTTGTTGCCGATCCATGCATAATTAGGAGGGTGTATATTTCTATCTGCCAGTCTCTCCTGATATATTGTATCACCTCTTGGGGCGGTTCTGCGAAAACCAATATGATTAGACTGGAAAGAGCTCAAAGAGCCCTCCTTAAGGTATGTACATTCCTTCCCTACCGTTTTCCTACCCATGTTCTCTTTCAATATTGTGAGCTATTGTCAGTACGCCAGCTTTTTATCTTGTACACCATTCTTAAGCAGCATCGTGCTATTGATTATCTCTCCTCTACCACTCAGTCCCGTCGTAATCATCTAATTGTACGCTCGTTGTCATTTAAAACATATTATCCCCGTCGATTTTTCTGTTTCTTAGGGCCTTTTCTGTATAATAGACTTCAAAAGAAACTCAATATTTTCGCTCTTGATAGATATCATTGTAAACTCTCAGTAACATCCTTCTTGCAAAAAATTAACTATGATGATACTGAAAAACTACTACTCCCGATCAGATAGTTATGTCTCAATCCTGTTAACAACAAACTTATTAAGTAATACTTAAATTATTCGGAGCGTTTCTGGAGGTTTGTAAATGTCTGGGTAGAAAACACAATATTACACACACTATAAAATATCCTACGATCGTTGTTAGTTCTATTTTATCACTTCATCAAGTAAATACACCTGTCTGATTTTGAAGCTGTAAAGTAACAATCTGCGGGCAAGTGCATATAAATTAATTGTATGATGGTATGTGACTTAGGTTTAAATCGTGTTTTTGCTTAGTGTTCTTTTCTTGTAGTGGTTTTGAAAATCCATTATAGTAACTGTGACAACGTATAACTCTTTGCTTCTTCCATAAAAATGTGCTTTGTAATTAACTTAATACAAATTTGTATTGGCTCTAGTACCGATCATTGTAAATGAAGTCATTATTTGGATATATGTAGTATATTATATATTCTCCTACAGGTATTTTTATATGTAGAAACTTACTTTGTTAAGATAAGATAAAACGGTCACCTTACAAAGAGGAGGGTACTGGTGCACTGAGATACAAGCTTTCGCTTAGTTCAGGTACCAGTCTCTCGCAATCTTATAAAATATCCTAATATAGTTTTTAATTATAAGATGTAACATGTAGATTGTTGGAGAAAATAAATAAAGTTATTATTATTTTTACTTAGTTGCAGATGTAGTGGCGATGTCGTTCAGTGTCCGTATCGCAGCCATGGAGACAGGACGCGACCGACAACCAATACACTTGAACCGGGATACGAGATGTTTAAAATAATGCCAACACAAAAAAAAATCTTACCGTGTGGACGCAATCGACACTAATATCGGCGTGTATCTGAGCCATTAAAGTTTTTGAACAGGTTTAACATTATCAATACACCGCATCGCGTTTGAGTGCAAAAATGAGTTTTACTTGGCGCAAGGAGATCACAAAGAGCCATATTTATCATTTTTGTAGAAGATTATAGTCTTTGTCCGAGGTAGTGGCAGCTACCTCTAGCTATTCAAGGGGGCAACGCTGCCAGTATCTTCGGAACCTTGCCTAAAAGGACTCCTTTTAATAATATATTTAGTTATTATATTACATTTTTAAGGTTTTTAGAATGTTGACTGACATTTATGTCGGAATTGCTGTCGTAGTTTAAACGTACTATTAGCAAACTGTCCTTTTTAGTAACACAGCACTTGGAAAAGCATGTGTTAGTTTAGGATAATTCCTCACCGGAGACAGAGGCGTATCATTCTACGCGCCTTAGCTTAATCGAAACATCGCACTGAAAAGGTATGAAATCATTGGCGGCCAGTTTTAATAATCAAACTTAGTAATATATAAGCCTACTAGCAAACCCGGCGAACTCCGTTTCGCCACCAGATGGCTTCTTTTTATGTAACATTTCGTTTGGTGATTAAAAGAAGATTTTTTTTTATAATTTTTCCTGAATTTTCTTTGCTGTAAACCCCACGGAGCCCGAGACCTTTCCAACGAATGCAAAACCGTGGAAATCGGTTCGTGCGTTCTGGAGTTATAGCGTCAGGAAGGAAAACCCGACTTATTTTTATATAATAGATTACAGCTTAGTTATCTAGTTCCTGGAGCTTGATTATTGAAGCTGGCCGTTAATGTTGTACGTGGGTTTACCCATTTAATATAATTATTATTTATATTTCACTATAATACTAACACATTCCTCCTTTTTGTCTTGCTTGCTGCCTAGCAATAACATCGACAATGAGGAGCTTGATGGCGCAGGTGGTTAGCGCGTTCGGCTGCGATAGTTCAAGTTAAGCAAACTTTCGCAGTGGTCGGTCATTGGATGGGTGACCAAAAATTTTCTATCTCGAGTTCCTCCGTGCTTCGGAAGGCACGTTAAGCCTCCCGGCTGTATCTGCAGTCGTTAGTACCCGCCAATGCACACTGGGCCCACGTGGTGCGTCCAATCTCCCTGTTGCATCCATAGGTTCAGGCCTGTGCCCCAGCAGTGGGGACATTCATAGGCTGATGATGATGAATAAGACCGCCTATATTGTGCACGTTCTGTTTGTCATGCTTTGTTTCTCTTGTGTCCTATTTGGTGTACAACAATAAAATGCATTTTACTATTATCGTTATTATAATTATATAAAAAAAAACTAACCTCAAAGTCAGCGTGTTTGAGCACATCATCCGCTCTCATTCTATTCAGTATAAACTCTGCTTCATTCGCCACCCTGACTATATGGTCCCTCATGGCATGAGATAATAAACGTCCTTCGTTAATGAGTTCTATGAACGCAAGCCCCGCGTGCTTCTGCAACGAGTTCTGCCATTCTTGTGAACATAGAAGCATTACTAATTCAACTACTGATGTGCTGGATTTGAAGGTTTGGAGACCTGAAAGTAGAAATGAAGGAGATTAACGTCAGCATTTGACTGTGTGAAATGCGATTTTTTTGCAATATGGACATTTATAAGGTGATTAAATATAGGATCCCATTCATGCATAAACATGCATTCGAGTCAGTCAATGATGGTGCTAATAAAATTTACGTCACCAGTTGGCACCACTGTGACGTGGAGTATTTTCATTATTTAATCGAACTAGCACTGAAATTGATGGACTATGGGGACATACGCGATTTGTCGGTTAAGTAGACCTTTCGTCTCAGACCTGGTGCTCTTCATTTGATAAAAACCTCATTCACCACAAGATTATCTACCGATCTTAAAAATAGGCATCAAAAAACTTTGTTAATCTACACAACCCCAAGGCAAGTCGGAATTAAATTAGGTTATTGTAGTCCAGTTAGTACACCCCCCCCCCCCATTCAAAGCATTCATTCCCAAAAAAAGCATTCAAAACCAACGTAGGTTCTCATCGTTTGACTATAGAATTGTTAGTAAGTACTAATTTCTACGTTTATCCACTATAGCTTTCCAGGATGCAAATAAAAGTAGATTAATAAATTGAATTTCTTATGAAAACATAAATGCACTTTTTTTTCATCACACTGTTGCCACATGCTTTTAGAATAGTTTACAACTCTCGCGTTAAGAAACCAAGAAGTATTAAAATAACTACAATCTTTGAATTATATTTATACATCTTAATAGAGCAAACCAAATAAATCAATCAAAGAAAATGGCTCATGTTTCGCGCAATGTATGCGTGACTAATGTCAGATTGAACTAAAATGCGTGTGTAGCGACGAGCATATAGTAGATATTTTTTGTGCCGCTTCCGTGCAGTTAATACGGTATCTAAGGTGTATATAATCAAACAACACAATATTAGAACCTCAGCCTTTTACCTTTTATCAAGAGTTCTTGCCCGAATCAATATATACAATTAAGAAATGAAAAAGAACAAAGCCAATCTACCATGCTAAGACCTGTATACCTTTACCCTCCATCAAGAGCTCCTGGCCGTGGCTGCCCACGAGGGTCTTGGAGAGGAAGGGCGCGAAGTCCAGCATGATCTCCCTCAATAAGGGGCACACGGGACCCAGCGCCGTCTCCAGCTTGTGAGTCAACGAGGCTTCTCTCGACGCCCCGTCCGCGCTTATTGAGGTCATCGCGCTCAAACCCGCTAGCGTTTCATTATCCTAGACAATTGTTGGTGACGTTTTAACAGCAGTTTTCAATCTTTAACGCAAGGTTTATAGGCACAGTTCTTAACATATGTTGTAAGAAACTTCACGTAGATCCACTTATATCCAATGGAAAGATAAATTGATGAATATTTTTTGAATCAAATGTCCACTTTAATCGTTGATCCAGGATTTTTTAGAACTAACACTAAAAAATCCACTCAAGAATAGGGTCACACATACGATCTTCTTGTAAAGTCCTCTCAGTCTTGTATAGTCTACTGGTACATTTTTCAAAATAATGATTTTATAAATGTAAATCTACAATGTAAAATCTACATGTGAACAAACCGTAAGCGAATTCTTATAATACCTCAATGATAATAAAATTTAAAAAAAATGTATCTATCTACTTCATTGTTCTCCTCTCAGTACTTTTACTTTAGAAAGGAGCTCTAAGTTGTGGTTAATGCGTTTTTTAACCACATTGACGGAAATGGTGTCATAATAAATATATCATATAGGCAGCAAATATTTATTATTTCAGAGGACTGACTCGACCGAAAGCTATTTCCAACTTGTGAGTCAACGACGCTTCTCTCAACACTCCGCTCGCACTTATAGATGTAATCGCATCTCAAACCAAGGTTTCGTTGTCCTAGATGATAAATTGTTGTAAACTTTCGTGGTCACTAATAATACAATAATATATGTTATTTTCTGGATTGTTACCAAGTACCGTGTTTTTAGCGAGTTTCCGATATTTCGGCACTATTGCAAGCGCCATGATCACGGATTAATTGATGACATAGCGCTTGCAACAGTGTCGGAATATCGGAAACTCGCTAAAAACAAGGTACATGGTAACAATCCAGAAAATAACTTAAATTACTATAGTCCTAGATGATGGTGTTAAAAGCCATTTCTTTCTTTAACGCAAGTTATAAATTCAATTCTTAAGAGGGGAGGCGGGCAATATTTTTTCCATACAAACGTTCTAGACCGATTCCTCCTTGATTTTTATCACTAAAGAATTGTTTTTCATAGATAAAATACAATTTTACTCACTTGTCTTCTTTATGTCTTCCTTATGATTTTATTTATTTTTTTAAGCATTTAACTGCTAGATGTTTAAATCTAAAGTTTTCTTTAGATTTAAACACAAAAAAATCCACGCGGACCAGGCAGCGGACGGGACTCGAACCCGCATCCTTCGCTATCCGGGCGAATGCACTGACCTTTTTTTTCTAGTAAACTTTTCTTTAGATTTAAACATCTAGCAGTTAAATGCTTAAAAAAAAATCATAACTATAATTGCTATTTCTTCTTTCAAATGTTTAATACTTGAAAAAGTATTCATTTGACATTGTGGGTTACCTACAATGCGAAGAGATGGCGCTGCCTTGTAGCTTAAGGCTAGGAAAATTTCGACGCGGCTAATAGGGCCGTGGTAGCATAATGGTCAGTGCATTCGCCCGGATAGCGAAGGATGCGGGTTCGAGTCCCGTCCGCTGCCTGGTCCGCGTGGATTTTTTTTCTAGTAAACTTTTCTTTAGATTTAAACATCTAGCAGTTAAATGCTTAAAAAAATAAATAAAATCATAACTATAATTGCTATTTCTTCTTTCAAATGTTTAATACTTGAAAAAGTATTCATTTGACATTGTGGGTTACCTACAATGCGAAGAGATGGCGCTGCCTTGCAGCTTAAGGCTAGGAAAATTTCGACGCGGCTAATAGGGCTGTGGTAGCATAATGGTCAGTGCATTCGCCCGTATAGCGAAGGATGCGGGTTCGAGTCCCGTCCGCTGCCTGGACCGCGTGGATTTTTTTCTAGTAAACTTTTCTTTAGATTTATGTCTTCCTTTTTCGAAAACTAAAGAAGCAAAACATAGATACATAGTATAACTACTTTTTATTCTATGGGTTTTTTTTAAATATGTAATTTTCTTGGAGAAAATCGTCGAGAGCCAAACCTCGAATTTTGCTATTTTTATACGCAATTTTCAGCGTTAACTACTGTTGTCCCTATCGCACGGTATTTGCCAATGCGTGCCAGCAATAGTTTTTTGAAATACCTATTTCTCTAGAGTCTCTCAGCTCACGTCCGCTCTTAACAATTGTAATTGAACTCACGGGATGTAAATGTCTCTGTGCAGCTTGGAGGTTTCTGTTCGGATGCCTCTGCTGTGGGTGGTGATGCTGCTCACTATTTCTCATGTGGATTTGTTTGTCAATATCTGCAAAATACATATTACACATGTAGATATTACACAGATTTAATTTTTATACAATGTACATATTTATGCTTGATTGTCAACTATATACACTGACGTGCAAAAATAAGTATCAAATGTAAAAAAAAACAATATTTCCTAAACTACAGAAGTTAGAGATATAAAATATAAAATAAAATAAAAACATTTATAGAAATCTTCTACAGCAGCTTTTTTTGAAATTGTAGCACTCTACTCTTTTTCGAGTCGTTTTCTTTTCAAAACTATATCTTGTGTACTTTAAGGCCCGTATTATAGAAAGATTCTCAGTGATTGATCTAGTCTTGAGCATACTTAGAAAGGGATGTCGCTATATATAGCACATAGGGATATCCCTTTCTAACTGTACTCAAGTAAAGATCAACACTTAGTTGTCATTCTGTAATACGGGCCTTAAAGTGTGATTCTTAATTTTGCAGGCCAGTTTATTTTTATTATGTTACTATTGGGTTCCCGCGACACCGTCTAGTCTGATTGGAAATATTAGTTTCCCATACAAACTTTGAACCACTCTTTCAGCCTTTTAGTTTTGGAAAATGCTTTCTTAACGCATGCCTACTTCATAATAGCTTCATGTGTGCCAAATAACAGCGCAATCCGTTCAGTGGTTTGAGCTGTGCTTAGATAAGTCAGTCAGTAACGGTTGTCTTTTATATATACAGAAGAAGATATGCATAGCTTTATCGTATAAGGACGCTTGTTGCCTCTTTCTATCTGCTTACTCCTTCTAAACCATGCTTTTAATGTCGGTGAAGTAAGCACTATCTGTTGAAATTTTTTTACGGAAGGTTTAGGTGCTATATTAAATTCGAGCATATTATGTTGAGTAATTTATTATATGCAAATCATCAAAATGGAGGAAATTATTTCATAACAAACTCTTAAGTAGCCCCGGATGTAGTTTCAGCCGATTAGATCGGTCGAAGATACATCCATGTGAGAGTCCTGCATGCCTTGAAGGTAGTCTAGAATACTAAAGTTCGAACCTTTGGTAAACCAGATTTCCATAAAACAAGAGCTTTAGCTTATTTTGGGATAAGAACAATGTATGTGATGTTATTCAATGTAGGAAAGCCTAAAGAGATGTTATTGGGTGATCTTAGCCCGGGGTTAAGCCATTTAAAATCACGGAGAAAATAATAGAAATTTGTTAGCATGGTGTAGACTTTCTACACGTCACTTTTGTATACCAGAGACCTTAACACGGAATTTAACAGCTCCGTAATTGTACCGCATCGTCAAGGTTTCTATGAAAACTAAGCAGAGCCCCTTCCGGAAGTAAGATGAAACTAGCTTTTTCCATAAAAAAATTGACAATGACTATACAATTACGGAACTGTCAAAATTCGTGCTTGGACCTGATTTAATAAGTGTTCGGCCAGTAGCGCCATCTATCTAGACTGAATGGAAGTTTCATTCTGTTTAGGTACACGTGGAGCGCATAGATGTCGCCACCACACTTTATGTCAATAAGTTACCTTCGTGAATATTCCCCTCGTGGTCCCTACTCCTGCCGGTGATGGTGGCAGGACCCCGTTCTCCATCCTCGTTTAGGTTAACGTCCGTCCAGGATTCATCGTTGCTCACCTTGTAAAGAAAAAAATAGTCATATTTAAAAAATAGTGGGTGTTTACTCTAATTCTCCGAAACGAACTTCCGATAACGAAGTTCTATCGAAATTTAATTTCGTCAACTTAAGGTTATACTTAATTTGAACGATAAACTATCAAATTGAAGTTTTCTTTGAATTGGCTTAGAAAATGTACACCTCAATCTATATTCCGACGACGAATATTATTATAATTAAAAACGAACCAGAAACATTGTAAGAAAAGTGCTAGGTTTCGATCGAAATTTCGTTTTTCGTTGAATTAGAGTAGGCATCCTGTTCTTAAATCCAGATTCTATACTTACGCTATGAATGAGCCAGCCGACAACAAATAAATTGTTGTTTTGTTTATTTTTATCCAGAAACATATCAAATCCCGATCAAATTATACAAAACTGTTACGTGTAAAATTAACTATCTACTGGGTTTTTTTTAAATAAAAATAAAATGTAAAATTTTCCCAACAGACATTTTTTCAACAGTTATGGATAACTTCATCGGAGTTTGATAATTTCTGGATACAAATAAACAAATCTCTCTTTTTAATAGAAAATGTAGATGACGAGATAATTAAGCTATTCTAAATCACACTGTAAAATGTAGTTATCTGATAATACTGATAAACTGGCAACTTTGCTTATACTAATTACAAGTAAATTTACTTGATGACAAAATAAGGAATATAAATGTAATTCAGATAAGGCAATTTTTTTTGTATATATACAAAAAAAATAGCCTTATTTAAGAAATTAAAGAACTGACTGTAAAGACATATATGTCTTTACAGTCAGTTCGTTAATTTGTTATTTCTTAAGTAGTTTGTATAGCTCTTGGGCGACCATAATAATAAAACTGTCACTTGATAGATGGTATGGCTTTGACAGAACGAGCCGTGATATTTTTATTTGATTATTTTAAAATATTATTGTAAAGGAAGGAATTGTTGTATTAAGTACAAGACTTTAAATGTCGTTTCTTTGTTTTCAGAGCAACACATTTGTTCAATTATTTTACAATTTCCATTAAAAGATATTGTCTTATATATATATAAAATCTGTTACTTTTCAATTGTCCCTCCATCAACATAATTTTTATGAGATTTATTTTGACAAGACATTTATTAAAAGTGCGAAAAACTTGTGGGAAATCCAAATATGTATATGAAACGCAACAGAGCGGTTGCGACGTACATAAAAACAAATCAACAAAAAAGTGCCATGTTCACAGGATATGTCAAAGTCAACGAGACATTGTGCGCGCGCACCTAGTTCCTAATCTAACTATGGACTTGTCTGTTTTGTTGCTAGGTTGCTATGGACTGTGACGTCACACTAATAGTTTCAAAATCGGGATCGTTTAAAATGCCCGTGCAAATTGGCTATTTTTACATTATTAAGACACATCGCACAATCTTTACGACAACAAAAAATAAAATATAGGAAATAATGATGCATATTCCCTATTGTGGTATAACTTTTTTTTTTCATTACCATTTAAACATATAACACAAACATTAATTACAACATTCACAAAAACCACATAGGGTTTAAACTAGGAATGCGTTGTTCGGACATTCACATTATTTTACATTGTTTGGGAACTAACCGGGTGCTTGTTGTCGTCCATGGCTATCTCGCTGGAGGTCTCTGGGTCATTGTTGGTGGTCTCCGTGGAGTTGAGGTGGAAGGAGCCGGCGTCCTCGATGGAATCCACGCTCTACGCAAGCACATAAATACAAACATAACAATAAAACGCACATCCAGTTTCATAAAAGTACATTTTTTCTTCTTTCACTACTTCAAACAATTATTATAAGTTTAAAAACACTTTTTGGAAATCCACGAAATTCTAATTCCTTTGTCTATTTTATTTTTCTTTCGCTACTTCAAACAACTATTGTAAGTTTAAGTAGGTACTTTTTGAATACTGGAAATTCTAGTATCTCCTTAAGTTACTCAATTTTATAAAAGTCCGTCTTTCATTATTAACTTAATTACCTTTAAACATTGTAAGTTATTTATCGCAATCATTAGATAAAGTGAGTGATTTGTAGAAGTAACTAACATGCAGACAAGTGAAGGGGGTGAAAGAAGCAAGCGAAGCCACACAACATGCATAGTCAAATCTTACCGTTATACCCAAATAGTTTTGTTAATCTTAAATACGAGAACGTTATTCAATATTTTAGTAGACTTCCAACACCCAATAGGAGAAATATTCTAATAAAAAATTTACATCTGCATATTCCTCCTTAGGCGTTCCATAAAACATTTACCATTGTTACAGGAAAAATTAAACCAAAATGGGATTCTTTTTATTATTATGATTATTAGAAGATTTGTAGAAGTCAGAAAAACGTCAAGTCTCTGTTGATATATTTTAGTAGTAATGGAATTCAAACGCCTTCTTGTTTGAAATTTGTATTTTATAAACAAATTAATTTTATAGTTGGAAGTTCATTGTAAATGATGTGGTTACTAATATTCTATTAATTGTTTACGGTTCAATGAAGGCACTGTTTATTTTTTTTATACCTAACAGCAATTATGTTGTCATCATATAAGTGAGATATTATCATGTGTCCGCATAAGTGACTAAGTTGAATGTATGTGTTGTGCTCTAGTGCTTTAGCCGTTCGTTATGTACAATCAGTGAGTGTCGCCACAGCCTAATTGAATGTAAGTAGGTACTGTTATTTAAACATACCATGTTGGTAATCTGTGACAGAATAGTGTTCATATTGTGAACAATCAGGTATATGGGATCTATCGGAGATTCGTTAAAGAAATGTTAAATAACAAAAAAAATTGAAAAGAATTTCAGAAATATAAGGTTATTTAGATTATTTGTACTTAAGTATACTAAATCTTTCATTACCAGCGAGTAATTTTAAAGATATTTTATATTTACGATATATAAAAAATAAATAAAAAAAAAACTTAAAATATATATGTATTTAAAAAAACACGAGCACATGTCGTAACTTAAACAAAACTTTCTTACAATAACTCACATTAATGAATCTCCGAAAGATCGAATTTAACATTAATAGGATTCTGGCAATAATTACTTGTTTACAAACCAAATCGACCACAGACACCGTCACCCCCGACAAGGTTTTGGACCTTGGTAGCGGTTGCTTTCAACAGGAAAACACACGTTTAGTTCTATGGGAAACCCGAATACCAGAACATCATCTTCTAGCTTTTGATCATTGTTTTTATTAAGAAAGTATATAGACTATCAGAATTCTGATTTAAGAGTCCTTCTTAATTAACTTATTTCTGTTAAACCGAATCTTTTATGAAGAATGACTCATGAAAATCAGCGAGTGTTGCTGTTAAATAACACATTATCAAAAGAACGAACGAATCACAAGTTTAAAAATTATGACAATAATTATTATTAAGGTTACAAATTCTTCAGCACCCGCATCCCAGTCTAAGGATGAACTTCATATTCACAACACTAACATAACCGGACAGGTCGGAAAGAGACAAACGCTAATAGAGAGAGAGACAGCTGATTCCCACACCAACTGACCTTGGGCTTTGACTTGCGGAGACTTGACTTGTATAGAGGTTCCTCGATCTCCGGCGCGGGAGTGGCAGGTTTCTCTTCCTTTTTCTCCGCGGAGGGTTTCAGTTCGTCCGTCGTCGCCTCAATTTTGGCGACCGCCTCTTCTTTATCACCCTCCTTCATAATTTTATCGCAACGGAAAAAAACCAATCGTAAGAAGCTTACACCACGTCACGTCACTCAGGCGACATCGATAAAACCAAGTACGGAGCAACAGAATATGCTGAACACTCATTTGATGGGAAATGATCTCAGTTAAATTGATTTGGGGGATGACATGCTATATGCTACTGACAGTCGAACGCTAGATAACTATGTCATGATCATGATCTAAGCTACTCTGTCGATGTAAGTATACTTTACCTAATTCGGACGGATAGATAAACATGCCGTAGGGGATTTCAGTTTGTTTGAAATTCTAATTAGAAATGTAAAAAATATGAATAGAAAATTTTTGGAAAGAGCTGTACATAATTAACGTTCTATGAATAGTAAATCATCTTTAATTCATTTCTAATTATGGTAGGTAAAAAAAAATAAATGTAAAAGTATAAAAATTAAAAAAAACGTTTATTTAAAATAAATGAATAACCAGTAGAATAGAATGCAAAAACCCACGTGATTCTTAAAATTTTCTTGAATAATATAAAAACTGTTGTCAAAATTCCTCAAGTTATTTTTTTTAAATCAACATCGTTTTTATGTACAGCTTTACAGCTAGCTATGTAAAAAGGATTGTCGATAAAGCTAGAACATGGAAGAATACTAACAAATTTACATGCCTCCCTACGGATTCATTAAAGATCTTTTGACAAACAATGACATAATAATAAACAATCATTCAACGTACCTTCATGGACGGAGAATCCAATTCATTAATAGTAGAATTATTCTCATCTACGACGATCATGGCATATTCCACGTCATCTCCATTGTGTTCTGAATAAAATATAAATTCATATACATATTACTCAGAATTGATAATTTGGCCAGTTCAACAACATCGACGAAGCTTGCTTTAACAAAGCAGGTAAGTAATTTGGGTTAATAATGGGTAATTTAATATTTACTAGGGAATACTTAAAGCTATGTAACCTGAAATTCTGTGCAATTTTCAATACATTTTTAACTCCTATAATAACAGAAAAAGCAGCTTCAAGGGCCATTCGATACAAATGTTTAGAATATTTATATATAAAAGTACACAGACTTTGGAATGTTTCTTTAATAAAACTAGATATTACTTTAAAATATGCCAATTAGTTATATTTTTTAATTAATTATCCATGCACTGACCAACCATGAGGTTCACTAGATTATGTTGCAACTAAAAATAAAATCAAATAAAATCCAAGCGGTGCCTTAGCAGTGCATCTTTGTAAACACTGTTTTGTCGAACTTGTTATTTATTTCCTTAAATTTTATTAAGATAAATTTATATTATGTAGGATTGCCGTGATGGGGAACTACATCTATAGAAATAGCACTATTAATAGTAAAGAATCATTACTAATAATGCAAGCATAATAAATAGTAAGAGCTTTATTATACTTTATTATAAAGATGTTCAAACTAACAAGGATTTTTCCGGAAAAATAGCGGGTGGACCGGCTAGACAAAACAGTGCGCATGAAACATCGACCACGTATTTGATTCGGCATTCGCATTACATTTTTCAAGTTGAACACATGAAGAACGATTTTGATCTATAGAAGCGTGTAAGCAGGTAAAGCTTTACGAATGAAGGTGAAAGATCTTCTTGCGTTCATTTTATTATAATTTGATTAACTTGTAAAGAAATTTAGATGCCTTCCTAGGTTATACGAATGCCAGATAAAAGTTTGCTGCAAGCTGTTTTACAAAACAAAAGACAATTAAAAGCCTTGCAGAAAACTTCATTTGTTTCTGAAAATTCTGATGTCCTAGTCTCATAATGTGCCATTCATTTAAGTAACTTTTTAGAATTTATAGATTGTGTCTGTCACGACGCCCGATTCGGGAGTTTAATGCCATTTTGTTTATGTGTCCTTGTCGGTTAAACCACTTGAGATTTCACTTCCTGTCTACTTCAGATTCAACTTAAAATGAGACTAAATAAATAAAACTCAATAAAAGGACGTTGATACCTTATTTTACCGATTTTTTTTTATTTAACAAGTTATGAGGTTATATTAATAAGTATTATTCAACATTGTATGAATTAGAAATTTAGAATATTGGAAAGTGAAAGAACATAAAGTGACATTGCTGTTTTTTTTTAATTTTATTCAATACTAGTTGACCCCGCGTACTTCGTACGGTGTATAATAATTTGAAGAAATGACGGACCCGAGTCTACCGTACCAAAAGGGACGAACGTCAAATGTTTGACAGGAAAGAACAGTTTATATGGGAAAATTAAATTGAGGTTTTTACTATATTCCTCGCAAATTTTCCATTTTTCTCACCTTTTAAACCTTCCCTAGACCTCCACGAACATTTCAAGATCAAGATAAGATAAATCCGTTAAGTTTAGCGTTTCCGTCTCTTAAGTTTTAGAGTTTCCGTCTCTTGAGTTTTAGCGAGACTAACGAACAGCAATGGATTTTTATATACATACTAGCTGACTCGGCGAACTTCGTACCGCCCAAAAGTAATAATTTGCAATAAATTAAAATTGCGACTATAATTTGAGATTTAAACTATCCTATCTCTCAAGTTGGATCGAACTGCACATGGTGTGCGAATTTTATTATAATCGGTTCAGTGGTTTAGGAGTCCATTGAGGACAAACATTGTGACACGAGATTTATATATATTAAGATATATTTTAACCTATTTTTGTTATATTCGAAATATACATTAATGAACAATTATTTATTTCTTTAACAATGACAAATCAAAATTATACACTTTCGCATATATTTTTTTTACTTAACAAGGTAAAAATATGTATCTTTTATCCGTTTTGAAATCGGGTCAAAAAAATAAAAGGCGCCACATCGTTGATTAGAGTTAGATGGCACTCTGTTGAAGTTAAATTGTGTCTTCTTTGCACACTCTATCTTCCGAATAAAGAAAAACAAAGACAAACACACTTTTAACAATTCTTATAACAAACTAAAAAAAAACAAATTTATATATGAATTCTAAACTCGCGCGAAAAAAACGCTCGATTCAGGCGTTGGGAACAGGCGGGCATTTTTTAAAATCAAATAAGTACCAGGACATCAGCATGTTACAGGTGGTCGCGTTACCTGCGCTCACGCGGTGATAGTTAGCGATGCGTGTGTGCGCGTGCGAGTTATTGTTAAGGTGTTGGCTGCAGTCGAGCTTGCAGTGCGGGTGCGGGTGTGGGTGGCGGTGCGCCGGGTGCCCACCGGGCAGGAACTGCGGGTACACGTGGTGCGACCACTGCGGGAACAGCGGCCGGCTGCCTGCACCCGCCAATCGAATACGCGATGGCGCGGTACGGATTTTTTAAGGATGCGGATTCCGTGGTCAAATTACAGGGAAGCACAATGGTATAAACCAGCAGGAGTTTTTACCGAATTAGAAAGGAGAATTCCCGGAACATGGTAGGATTTTAATTGGGATGACGTCGGCGGATTCGAAGGATAAGTTACAGAAAAGTATCCGTGTGGCATAAACCATTAAGAGTGTATACCGAATTTTGTAGGAGAATTTGGGAAATTTCACAAGAATATGAGGTTGCGCGACATCATGAAAGACGGATGCATGGAAACATAGTATTTATTTTAGGAATAGGACAAAATAACATCAAAAAAGGTGCAACACAAAAGGAATAAGGCACAACAATGATCAAGTGAAAGATTAACCAAATTCGATCGTTCGATAGTTTTGCGAAAACATAATAATGCGATCGAATAACCGAATTGTCGAGTACGAACGGTAAAAGTGCCGCAGTGTAATTATAATGTTGACGATTTTACCAGTGTCCCAAATCGTGACGCAAATCAAGCGGCGTGAAAAAAGGAAAAACGACACACGTCAGATATACAGTATATCAGTAACCTTCGGTGTACCGCCGCCGTCAAATATTATCAACTAATGGAATCAAACCAGTCAAGATGATATTTGCATGCTTTCAGTCTATACAAACATTTTCAACATGAAGCAGAAATATCAAATTTATCACGACAAGAATGGGATGCATTTATCGTTATGTTACATTATATTGCATAGCGACTGCAGTGGTTGATCTGATATTTCAGAAATTTTGATAAAACATTTTATATTTCAAACAAACACTTGACCGCGACTGTACTAGATGGCAATGATTATTATCTTTATGATAAAATGTAAGTAACATATTATAAATACCGATTTTAATGTAGAAAATATGTTATTATACCAAGTGCGTTAAAGCGTTAAAAGAAGCATATTAATTTATATTACATACCAATTAAATACTAATAAACAAACCCCATTGATCACTAGTTGTATAAAAACAAAATCAGACTGATAAAAAATCGTCAAATTATTATCATAAAAGTACTTTTGATATCACTACATAAACAAATGTGTTAGAAATTGTGTATGGATCTAAGTATCGAAATAAAATATCGTATGGGCTACAAAGTGCGAATTTAAGAACCCTTCATAATAATAAAATACACTGTAAGAAAATAAATCAGTGATAAATAATAATATTAAGATAGTGATGTAAAATCTATTAAGTAAACATAATAAACGCTAAATTTATTTTCTAAACCACACCATCGAGACGAGCACATAAATTATGTATTTATGGATCTAGTCAAACCACTACTTCTAACAAATCAATAGTAATTTTTAATTACAAAAATATATTTATCCCATGTATTTCTCAAAACAATAAAAAATTAGGTACTATATCATAAAGATAAATTCCAGCAACTTTTTATCTAAAGATACATATCATGTATATTGATGGTTACACCTTAACGGGAAACGGCATTGACCCGATCAAAGTAGATATTTGTAAAGTTCTCCCAAATTTGAAAACTATATAATATGTTAAGTACAACTTCTTATGTGTAGTCATAATAAGTATGTTGGATTTACTGCCTCGACTAGACTTCATTCTTGTATTAAATCGAAATCATCATTTTACTGCAATTCCTTAACATTAAGTCGAAGAA